TTACTTGAGCACACAAAGCTAGAAATCATTAAAGGAATTTACATTAGGGCTCGACAAAATGAATTAAAACCGAAACTATTAATAAAAACAATTCGACAGCAGCAGTTGTTCTAAGGTTACGATCTCCAGAGCGACTCTGAAGATCGTCCTTCATGAGACAGAATGCTCTGAAGCTGCTCAGAACATCGCCTTCTGTAGACAGGATGCTCTGAAGCTGCTCCGAGCATCGCCGTCTTTACACAGGATGCTCTGAAGCTGCTCCGAAGATCGCCGTCTTTACACAGGATGCTCTGAAGCTACTCCGAACATCGCTCTCTTTACACAGGATGCTCTGAAGCTGCTCCGAACATCACTCTCTTTACACAGGATGCTCTGAAGCTGCTCCGAACATCACTCTCTTTACACAGGATGCTCTGAAGCTGCTCCGAACGCGGTCCTCTTGAGACGGGAGGCAATGAGTTCGGCGGGAAGTCCGTAGGAGGACTCATCGCGACAGCTACAGCAGTTGCCTAATGGCTCAGTCTTGCCTCTTTGAAGCAATATTTTCGATGTGAACAATTCTTACTGGATTATTTTTCGCCAGAACAATCCTGAAGGCAATGTCATCCTACAGAACAATGTGAAATGTAATGTCTTCTGCCAAAACAATGTTGAAGGGTATAGCTCTCGCTAGGACCATGATGAGAGTAATATATTCCACTAAAACAATGATGAAGGGAACATCTTCTGTCATACTGACTCGATAATTTCATTATAGTAAACGATTATTATTTATTTGATGTAATGTAAGCATTAATGTGCCAACATTGCTAAGATTCATCTAAATAGAAGGGTTATTTGTTCAATAAGTCTTCATGAGGCATGAACGCTCTCTCGTGTCCTTCATCTATCGTGCACGATTGAACTATGAGTTCGGCGGGAAGTCCGTAGGTCAACTCATAGCGACAGCTACAGCAGTTGCCTGTTGGCTCAGCCTTGCCTCTTTGAAGCAATATTTTCGACGTCAACAATTCTTAATGGGTTATTTTCCGCCAGAACACTCCTGAAGGCAATATCATACTCCAGAACATAGTGATCTCGGCGCTTCAGTGTAGGCCTGATGTGGCCTGTCGCCGATTCTTTTACTTTTCGTGCCTTGTTCACAGAAGATCTAAACTCGTGTCATTTGACCGGATCTTTTCATGACTGACGATAGTTTGAAGAAGCTACTAGACTTCCACCGGGTTCGATAAGGAGCTAGGCACAAATCTGAACATATATTTTTCCACAGCTTTATCTAGTCTGTTCTTGAACGCGTTCATTCTTGGAGCGCCAACGATGTCACTGCATGGGTAGGCGGTTCCTCATGTTGGTGATTCGAAGCGAGAAGAAATGTTGTCGCGTAGAGAAGTTGCAGCGCAGTTTTTTTAGTTTATAACAATGATGAAAGGAATATATTCCACTAAAACAATGTCGAAGGGAACATCTCCTGTCATACTGACTCGATAATTTTATTAATGCAAACGACTATTATTTATTTGATGTAATGTAAGCATTAATGTACCAACATTGCTGAGATTTATCCAAATAGAATGGTTATTTGTTCAATAAATCTTCATGAGGCACGAACGCTCTCTCGTGTACTTCATCTATCGTGCACGATGAACTGGAACTAGTGACACTGGCTGTACGATGTTTACAAGAAACTAGTGACACTGGCTGTACGCTGTTTACAAGAAACTAGTGACACTGGCTGTACGATGTTTACAAGAAACTAGTGACACTGGCTGTACGCTGTTTACAAAAAAATCCCTGGTGGGGATGTCCCAAACTCTTGTTTCGTAACAGGCAAGGCATCCTATTTCCGATTACTCGATGTCGATGAGCTAGCTTCCTCGAGTGGCAGAGGTCATGCTCTGTACACACAATATTTTTATATTCTGATGAGCTTAATGCGGAAGAATTTAGTAGAAGGTCACTCAAAAGAATTGATAAGAATGAATATCGATGTAAGACTCGAAAGAGCCTTACACATACTTGGGTTTCCCGAATTCGACAATACATTCTGTGAATCCCTTTACTTTCACTTAGAAGGTGTGTCATAAATACGCGCTTACTAGCAAACACATAAACATTGTTATTTTTTTTTTCATTCATGCCCCAAGTATTTTCTAAAAGTAATGGCGTTATCTAAGTTATCGCAGTTTCTATGAGACAATATGCATGTTTCGAATTTTGCTGCGATGGTAAATCTTGCAGTTTTAATGCCATTATTATAAGTGAGTTTTCAAAAGTAAATATCTGTATCAGTATATCTAATATGTGTATAACTGTTAAGACTATGAATATAAACATTTCAAGGGTCGGAAGACAAGTTCTGACAAACCAAAAATTAACACGCTTCAGAAAGCTTATTCAAGATAAAATAACAGAGGGTAAAGTAGTCATAAAATTTAATATTGTCAAATTACATCAGTCACACTAATACTCAGATCGAGGTGGGCAGTAGCGCGCTACATGTAGCGGCCGTTACTAGCGACCGCTACATTTTCAGTAGCGGTAGCGGTATCGGAGCAACATTTAAGCAAGTGTAGTGGTAGTTCCCGCTATATATTTAAGTAGCGATACGAGGTTTTACCGCTACGGCGCTACCGCTACATTTATAGATAAAGCCTTTAGATTATGATTAATAGTATTAAATATTATTTAAAGGCAAGCATGATACATACATAATATAAATTACAGAATAAACCTGTACGAAAGATTTCGGTGTAATGTTGTCAACCTCAGCCTGTTACTAGTGTCAACATGTTAGTTGTTAGGCCAGAGGTGGGCAGTAGCGCGCTACATGTAGCGGTAGCGGCGCTTCATTAAAGCAAATGTAGCGGCAGCGGTAGCACCAGCTACATTTAGAGCATGTAGCGGTAGCGGTAGCGGCCGCTACGTTTCAAAGTAGCGCTGTCCAGCTCTGCTAACACTTAATAAGCCCGTTACTGTGCTTTTCTTGAACGTAGTGCGGAAGGCGACTTATAGCGCATCAGGATATGAACAAACTTCCGACTGAATTATTGCAACTTTCCATAGAGTTTGCCTGTTTTGCAAACAATTTTCCAGATAGCACCAATGTCACTTTTTGCACGTCGGAAACAATGCACCTAAGATATGGGCTATTTTTGGCGTTGCCGCCTCGTCGCGTTCAAAATATAGAGTTTGCCTGTTTTGCAAACAATTTTCCAGATAGCACCAATGTCAGTTTTTGCACGCCGGAAACAATGCACCTAAGATATGGGCTATTTTTGGCGTTACAGCCTGGTCGCGTTCAAAATAGCAAGACAATTTGCGTGCGGTTGTGCATGAGAATGGCAGCGATGCTAATGTGCAAGCACAAGTAAACATAATAGCCATCATGCAGGAAGAAAAAGTTTCAGTGACATGGTGGCCTCTGACTAAAAACAATTTATTTCATCATCTCTAATGTTGATTGCAATTTGTAATTATGCATGGATATTTATTTATTTATGAAACTTACTATTTTCTATTATATTCACAGTGCAATTTTACCTCCGATAGACATTTGCGAAAACATGATAAATTAATTAAGGCTCAAGGTATGAATATTGTTCAATGGTGGACTCAAGTGAAAACAATGCGAAATTTCCTATCGTTTACTGTATTTTCTTCGGTTCTTGATCTTTTTTCCTTCATCTGCCTTAAAGTTTTTAGTTGTATTCAAGGTTATGTATTCAGCTTCGCCGGCCAGGGTGGGAATTATTTATACTTTATTAAATTATAAATTTAATGAGATTTAGTAAAATTGGCTTGATAAACTCATTTTTATGAGTTTGGAATGTAAAATTGTCTATGGAATGTAAAATTGGCTTGATAAACATTCCATAACACACCTGTGTTATGGAATGACAGGAATTAACTCGTACAGAGATTATAAAAAATAAAATATTAATTATTTTAAAATATTTCGCAATAGAAAAAAATGTCAAGTTTGTACTTCTGGAAATTTGGGTAAAATTTTCTTTCTAGCTCACAATTAAATGGAAATCTCATGATAAAAAAACTTTTCACATACGCGATGAAAAACCCAAGCACGCTGAAGAAACTACAATATTTCTTTGATTTATGAGGGAATTTTGGCATCTCAAAACACAAGACACATTATGCGGCGTAAGTAAAGTACATTCGTTTAATGCACAAATGAAAATACCGCATTTTTGACTGCATTAGCAGAGGGTAACAATCAACGTCCCTTGAGTAATCACCGTGATTATGGCCAAAGACAATTTACCAATAATAATGTAATGGTTACCCACCATATAAATATTTAACTTCAACACGATTCAGATTCACGTTATGTTACTCATTATTATCGCAGTATCATTTAAGTATTATTTTTCTATATAATAGCAGCTTATAAATGACGTAACGCCCGTATAAATGACGTAACGCCCGTATAAATGACGTAACGCCCGTATAAATGACGTAACGCCCGTATAAGTGACGTAAGACGTCCCGTATATGACAGGGTGCTACCTACAGCTCCTTGCATCTTGCTGTCCTATGTTGTTTATATACTGTTTTTCGACTTTCAAGCAGCCAACAAAGTGCTACAACTAAGAAATGTTTTTCCAGTACAGAAAAATACTTTTCAAATCAGTGTAATTTCAATTTCAATACGTACAGTTATTTTATTTATATTTATTTTTCATTAAAATATCCCACGCTTCGTGGCAGGCACAACTTATTAAACATAACAATTATATTATCAGTCCAAGGTCCTTCCCGGTACAGTTGCGGAACCAAAATGTAGGCAGGGCAACATTACCTGAATATCATTATAATGTAATCTTTCCAGGTTATTACTATTTTTAATAAGTTGTTGACGGCTATTTGAGATTCCGGTGATCACGGTGATGGAGAGATTTCAGTATCAAGGATCCCAATGTGCCTTATAAAAGCAGGCAACTCGCGCTAGCTGTCAGTGTAGCCTCGTCCCCCGTGCAGTTAAGACTAATTATTGTGCGTGCGTACAAACTACAGCGAACAATTTCCCTTATATTACCTGGTACGTGGCACAGCCTGGTTAAATTCATCTGTGTCGATCCGTTAGTTAACTCTGCATGCCCATGTGGTTATCCTTTTTGTATTTTATCTAGTCATAGATTATTAAATTTGTGATGGTTGATTTCAGTTTTTATTCAAATATTAAATGAAAAATATCGAGTGACCACTTTCTCTTCTACATGTGGAAAGAATATTTCTATAAACTATTATCTCTTGACTATAGCCCAAATTATATCAGTATCCAATTAATATATTAATTTCATCGCACTGCTAATGCTAAACAAAGAGCTAGCTAGGTCTGTAACTCTACAGCAAACACTACAGGATTTCCGTCACAAGTTTTGAGAAAGAATCTGTCTTTTATAAATAATCACTTCATTCACTTGCGAGTAAAAGCACAATTTTCTCTCATAAAGTGTACACATAAATGCTAACTTACGGGCGTTCTACCAGCCGCTCTCGTGAAAAATGTTAACTTGATTTCCAGGATTTTTTCATTTTTTATCTGAATTCTGCTGCGTAGCCATAAACTTCTACAACTTGTTCAAGTTAAATTTTACTGCGCTGCGGTAACTTGAGGGTTTCCCCAGGATGTTGCGATTATTGCTTGGAGCCAGACAAACAAAAGAACTACAGAAAAAGTCAAGTACAAGGAAAAGTCAAGAACAAGTACATTCAAGTAAAATGCTCGTGAAAAAATCCCGAGATCAGGAGTACTCTAGACCCGAGATTAAATTTTCGAAGTGGTTGTGATGAAGTGTCTTATTTCCTGCATTTGTAAATGCGTTGCAAACCAAGAGTGTCAGGAAGACCTAACATTAATTAAATGCCTTTAATAAATATGTAGATTTTGAACCAATCGATAACGCTGCCTAATCATAAAGCTTTGATCCAAAACCTTAGACATTGTAAAAACGTGCAGTTCAAGCGAAAAGCCAACTATGAATTGGGTGAAACGGCATAGTGGGATTTTACATGGATTAATTTTTTGTATAATCTAAAATCTAAATCATAGATGTAAAGGAAAAAGTTTTCGTGAAGGAAATCCAAATATTTATGTCATCTACTATCTAGAGTTGAGGGAAAAAAATTAGTTAGAACGCGCCTACAACGTAACTTGATAGCACATCTACATCGCTGGGACTTCCACACGTTCAGGCTCACAAATAACTTTATATAAAACACAAATTGATTAACTTTGTACTAACCTTTGCTCGATGATCTCATACAGACGCGATGTTGTCGCACCGAGCAGCGGTGGCAGTGCTGTGTCTCGGGCTGGTCTCCAGCGGGATTGCCATGTCCCGAGCCCGCAGGCAGGAAGACGATAACTCCTTCTGGTGGCTGACGGATCCTGCACCTCCTATAGGAGCTTCCGCTGCTGTGAATGTGGCACCTGGTGCTGAAGGTGCAGGTCTTCTTGCGGCTGTTGCGAACGTGTTCCCGGGTGCACCGGGTGCAGGTCCTCTCTCCGCTACAGGAGGGATCCCCATCAACGACCTGTCTGACCTGGCGAGTCTGTTTGAAGGTGTGCCACCAGGCGGAGGTTCGTGCGAGTGCGTGCCGTACTACCAGTGCAAGGAAGGCGAGATCGTCACCGACGGCGAGGGTATCATAGATATCAGGTGAGGGCTCCAAATCAAACTTCTTTGTGTATTGAATTGTTTTATGGGAACCTGATTTTCAAACTATCAGCGCTAGTATGAAAATTGTTAGACGCATTGAAAAAATAAACATAACAATTTGTATAAAATAATTCTCTAATCTGCAATCATACTTGCATAAAAGAACAACTTCTGCCTTACTATGCCAAATCGAAATATGGAAATAAAAGCGATATGGATGATTAGTTTTACTGACATGATGCTCAACAAAATGTTATTCTGCTTTCTTTTACTAACATTTATTTGCACCAGATTTGGCAACACGTTGAACAACACAGGAGAGACGCGTGTCAACTCTCACAGCCAGTGTCCGAATTTCCTGGACGTTTGCTGCGGTCACCCCAACACCGCCGTGGTACCCGTCCCGGGGCCTCTGCATCAGTACACCCCCAAGTGCGGCCACCGCAACCCCACCGGCGTCAACGCCAGGGTCTCAGGTTTCACGGTAAGATTACGCAAATTTAAATTTGCTCAAACTTTCAACAAAGTCGCGGGAAGAACAGAAGGAAAATCCACTCAAAGGGTGCTGCATTAGGAGATATGAGCGGTTTGACTTGGTTCAAGTAGCGATGCATTCGTTACTTTCGTTCATCTCAGTTGCCCAGGCAAAAAGAGCGAATCAGAGCTACGTTCAGAAAGTGTATCACAATTTAGACAATACGATGTATCAATTTGGACAATGGTGTAGTTTGGCAGAAGATTTTCTTTAATGCAGGTTTCGTTGAAGACCAGAGAGTGCAATTAAATTTTGAACTAAACTAAAATTAGAATAAAATGTCCCTTTGAAACCAGGTATTTGACTTTTCAGTACCTATCAAGAGCCTAATTCGCCGAATAGAGAAAAACAATAAGATAATTGTCAATAAGAAATACTCTCTGGTCTTCAACGAAACCTGCATCAATTTGGACAATATGCACTTCTGGCAAAGTCCTTGTCTTGAGGTGGGCGCTTCATGCCGGAATTTCTTGCGCCCACGGTGAAGTATCCATGCAGGCACTGTCCATGTTTGGGGCTGCTTCTCAGTTCAGGGAACAGGAGCACTACATCTCCTTCCCTCAACTATGGCAATAAATGCAGTTTGGTACGAAAAAGTTCTGATCGAATATTTATCCCCTTAATTGACTGACAATCAGTTTATTGAATAAAATTGCCTTTTCCATCACAATGGAGCGCCTTATCATAGAGCCGGTGCCATCAAAAAGCTTCTAATAGATTTTGTCATTGAAGAATTGGCATCATGGCCTGGAAATTCTCCAGAATTGAACCTTATCGGAAATTAATGGGCCATTCTTAAATAGATGATAAACAAAAGCTAACTTCTACAAATGACTTGATTTTGCATAAATGGAAATCTATTGATACAAAACATCATTCAAATTTTTATTTTTAGCACGCCTAAGAAAATAGAAAAGGTTCTTCGTAATAGAGGTCAGAACCGCAAATATTGATTGATACCTTGGAGAAATTCGCCATATTTTTAATATTCCGTGTAGGATTTCGTTTAGTTATTTTTTTTTGTTCCACTTAAAAAAAAATATTTGACGTTTCCTGATTTCATTTTAATCTCGTGCCTCAGGACATGAGATTAAAATAGTAAAATCAAGACTATTTCGGCACGTGACCAAAACGAAATATCTCGTTATCGTGGCCGTTATCATTTTTTATCAGGCGCAACAAGCGCAGTTTGGCGAGTTCCCGTGGATAGACCAGAGAGTGCAATTAAATTTTGAAGTTGCATATTTTATTTCGTAGTGTTGATGGTATTAACTCTACTCGAGTTTGGGAATGATTCCACCCTTGAACTTACACTGACGTGCGAGGCTTTGCACTGTTCATAAAACAGTGTACAGCCATTTCGTTCTTTAATATTACTGAAACATCACCGGCGACATTAAGCAGGATGAAAAATTTAAAGTCAAACTTTGTGAACCCCGCAGTAATTCGCTCGTGCATCGCTTGACACTTGGTGTTGTCAACAGGTGCGGTTGGGCGAGTGGGATACGCAGCGCACGTACGAGTTATACCAGCACGTGGACCGGCGTGTCAAGCAGGTGGTTACGCACGAACAGTACAACGCAGGCTCACTCAGTAATAACTACGCACTACTGCTGCTCGAGTCGCCCGTCACGCTCTCCCCTCACATCGACACGATCTGCCTGCCTGACGAGAACACCTCCATCGACCCCAACAAGTGCTTTGTCACGGGCTGGGGCAAGAACGAGTTCGGCAAAGAAGGTGAATTTCAGAACATCCTCAAGAAAGTGTCCCTACCAATCGTCGAGCATAACGCTTGCCAGACGGCACTCCGCACCACGCGGTTAGGGAAATACTTTCACCTGCATTCGACTTTCACGTGCGCCGGCGGGGGCGTGAACAGGGAGGACGCGTGCAAGGGTGATGGAGGATCTCCTCTGGTGTGTCCTTATGCCCAGGACCCTGCCACCTACGTGCAGGTGGGCATTGTTTCCTGGGGCATCGGATGCGGCGAGCCGGGCATCCCTGGAGTCTATGCGGACGTTGCAAAGGGCATCCCGTGGGTGACCGCCAAGCTAAAGACTCTTCCCTACACACGACCGAATTAATAATTAAGAGTTGGTGCGTACAGCAATGCATTTGGTTCACAGTGATGTGAAATTATATAATATTTAAATAAAACCATGAAAAACTACACAAGATCAGTCCTGGAGCTAATCGCAAAGAAAGTCGAACGTACTACAAATTAAATATTTTTAAGAGTCGATCACAACGCGTTCAATACATCTGAGATCGGTACAATTATTCTTTAGCCAGCACCATAATCACGGTCACTACACAGCGTCGCCGTATGAGCTCAATGGTCAAATGTTCGAAAAGCTCGTTTGTCACGCAATTATACAATAGAATTTATTGAACCTATCCTAGTCCCATCCATTTCGTTCAACTCTCTCATTTCTTTGACAAGATAGATTAATGGTATAGAAAATATTCTACTATTACGCCAAATAAATAACGGAAGACAATTTCATTTGAATTTTCTGTTCAACTTCTGACGTCCAAAGAAGCGGGACCCAATCTTTGGTTACGGAAATAGTAGGATTGGCATGACTACGTCGTACCTGGGTTAGTCTCCAGATTTGGTATTTCTAGTTAACGCGGACGAAGAACGTGAATTTTGTTGTAGGTTGTAATCGGTAATAATTACCTTTGGTATGTAATGAATTAGAATTTCTTGTGAATTTTCCCATCATTGGCATTAATTTTAAGCTCTTCTTTATGATCTTGTATTCGCGAAAACACAGACTGCATTCCTCTCTTAGAACTCGTAGTGTGACGTAACCAGATATTTATTGACAATATTCATTATGACACATTTAATAAATATGTGAAGGAAATCGTCGACTTTTTGTTATTTTTACAAACTCAATTGAAGGAATGAAATGGTCAAGTTCGTGCATCAAGATTATAATCAATAAACGACACCAAATATTAACAGTGACGTAGCATGGGGTAAAAAAAAACAAATTGGTGAAATAACAAGAGAAATTTAGAAGATCAGTATTCATAGGCGCACAACAAAAGAGAATAGTGAAAATGAAGCAAATGAATATGAAGAGCAACTTTCATAAGAGAAAAAAGAAACTTTCATTCACTTGACGTGAAATGTTGAAAAAATTAACAGGCAAGTAACGTGTGTGGAGAAATTACTGATAGTAAAACAAACAATCCGAGGAAAATTTGAAATTCAATTTTCTAACATTATGAAGAAATTCTCGTACACTTTTTGTTCGAGCATGAAAGAAGCAAGTTTATCTTACTATGCTGAACTCTAGTTAATGCCTAGCAACGGCCAGCACTGCACGATTCTTACTCGATATCTGATCCAAACCCTGCATTTAAATTGATCACGATCAACATTTGAGCGTCAGTATACTAACAATGACCAATTTTTGGCTGCTACATCTATGCGACGATTACTTCCTACGGGACTTGCTGTGGCTAGCCTTGCCGATCTTCCTCTTGTTCTTGTTCCCCGTTCGTCGTCGCTGCGACCTGCCGTGACCAGAAGACGTGGGTTTGGCCGCCAGCATTGACTTGCTGAAGTGACCGCGGGTGCCGTTAGCGATATTTCTCTCCCATTTGACACGGTTCAGGTAATACAGCCGCATGGCCACACGAGCGTCCGTTACCTGCAAAATCATCCATTGTTTTTTAATCATTATCGTCTATGTCTTTCGTGTAACAAGTACCGTCATAAAACCACAGAAATCTTGGTCTGTCTTACAAAATATGGACGAAATGAACAGAAATAACATTCATGCATTGAAAAGTGGAAGTTCAATAAAATTTTTGGCCAAAAATGTCGGTACTTAATGTTCGAAACATTCCTGAAAGTAAGTGATAAGATGAAACTTTGATGAGCAGAGGCAACATTTTTTGTAATAATCAAAGCGCCAATGGCAGAAAAACTCACGGAATCATGCTCGCCTTCCTGAATTACAAGACCTAGGAAGTCCCTGCTGAGGTTCTTCAGTGAGGGAGCAGCCCTTCGGTAGCGCTCCATGAAGGGGCGGTACCTGCGGTGCACAAGTAATATATAAGTCATGTCTTCACGTTTGAAAATCCAGAAAAATTAATTACATTTCAAATTCATTTGTATCCAAAATACTACACAATTACTATGAAATTCATATTAGATGGAATAATTTGCATGTTTATACACGTGTTATTAATGACCGTAGAATGCATTTGCTTAAATTTACTATGAGGCCACAGAGAGGAGCATTAACAGAAAATTAGCCATTAGTGAACGAAAAAAAAAACATTTCAGATGGGAAATGCCAAGTATAATCACGCCAGTCACTCACAAGCTAGTGTCACGTATGAGCTGTTGCGGGTGTGAGAGCAGCAACACTCCGAAGTCATTTTTTAGCGCGTGGCCAACAACAATGCGTCCTTTTATGAGCTTTGCAACCTCCGCCTGCACCTCACTGAAGGGCGGTGCTGAAACAAAATGCAAATCATGTTTTAATGGCTGCAGCAGAGAGTAATTAAATTTAGAAGGTGGGAAAAAATTGTATGCATTTCATGGAAGGAAATGAGAGGGAGGAAAGTTTTAAGCCAGATGAAAAATATGCAAGGCTTTACTTCTATATATGTCCATTGATAATGGAGTCAAGATATTTGATCAATTAACTAAAATTTATCCTCATAAAATTCTCATTGAGTGGTTTAAAAGAACTGAAATTAACGTAAAACAACTCACCATCTTTCAGGTTCTCAGGCCTGATGCCGGAATAGCGTGTCCTGTAGTCAGTAACAGGTTCAACAGGTTCAGCAAATTGGTCATAGAGAACATCCCCTCGCCTGTCAACGATGCTGACACGACCCAGGGCTGAGCTGCAACCACCTACCCCAACTCCCACCATCTCACAGTCCAGTGCTACAGCGTTCATGCTTCTGTACAGGAATAGAAATTATAAGAAATTAAGACATGCCCTGCCTAGAATAACAAAAACAGAGAAGTAATAGAAAGAATTTCCTATCTTTCTGTTACTGAAATATATGTAAATTTTTAGAATGTTGAAATGCAAATACATCTTAGAATTGGATGTACTTTCAATCATCAGCTTAAAACAGTATCATTCATTCATTTTTATTTTTACACAGCTAGAGGATTTTATTATTATGCACAGTGTGATGGTGAGAGAACATACCTACATAAATTCAGTAAAAACATATTCTCAAAATATGGATAAAATACCCTATAATTTTTCAGCAGAAAACTTACAATTCATCAATTCTTTTCTTTTCCTTCAATCTTTCAGCTTGCTCTTGATTGCTCTCCTTGGTAACAATGAAGTCATCTTCCTCATCCATGTCCACCTCAACAGCATCTTCATTATCACTTACTTCAGCATCTGAAGGTTGACAGGGAGACTCGGGGCCAATCAGATCGTCATCCACCAAGACGGGGTCAACATTTTCAAACCATGCCAGCTTATGCTCATCTTTCATATTCCCAGCATTTTCCCCATCATTTATGGATTTAATTATAGAATCAATATCATTTCCACTTTCTTTATCAGACACTGCATTTTCATCAGACTTGTCCTGATTTCTCACCGAGTTTTCAGTTTTGGATTTTTTCTTGTTATTTTGTGAATTGGATGAGCTATGACGTCTCCTTTTCTTTTTATGGTCAGTATTTACTTTTCCTTTGTCATCTGTCAGAACCTTCAAAGTAAACAAAAAAAAAAAATGATTTAAGCATGATATTTTAGCAAAATTAGCTTACATCCTATGTTTGCTATTATTGACTTGATAATTAATGAGCATGATACCATTAGGAGAGGATAAACTACAATATAATGATATTGAACTAAGGTATAAATGGCAAATCTGAGTTCAGAATTTGTCTATGATGAAAAAATCCTTAAAAATAGTATTTTTCTTACTTTATGCAGAAGATTCCAATTGGCAGACAATGTTTCTTGTGCCGTGGTATTATCTGCCACAGTGTGAGCAGCAATGGACTGAATATGTCTGTCCCTTTCCAATTTCCGAAGCCTCTTGTTCAGACGTACTGGCACTAGGAGAAGAAAACAGTATTAGGAACAGACACTTATGAACTTTAGTGTATAAGGCACATATGAATATATTCCCTTTAAGTTAAGAAAAAATGTAGAACTTGTAGCAAAAATATTTTTTGCTCATAGCAGTATAGCTGAACATTTGCAACATGGATTACCTATGCAGATCAAGGTGAGCAGTAATACCTGCGTAAGAAACTTGATAGAGACATAAAGAGAACTGAAAAATAAGAAAATAAATACACAAATAAGCTTGTTCTTTTGAGAATGGATGCACATATTCTGCATTCTTAAGTCAAAACTAAAGAAAAAATGAAGGGAAGCTAAGAAGCTAACCCCACTATATTTAAGGGATAGGCTTCAAACATACCTACAAACAAACAAACAAGGATTTTTGATAAAATCATAAGAATTTTTAATTCGCTTTAAACAAATGAATGGATATAAATACAAGTTTTCTGAAAAGTGTGGATTTCAACAGGTCATTCCTTTAATATCATTACCTCTGTTTAAAAATTATCAACGAGATATTTTGAGTCTTTAGCAGTAAATCTATGTCAGCACTTTTATAAATAGGCATTCCTCAGGATTTAAAAACCCTCAACATACTAACGGAACCAAATTTTTAAATCTCAGTAAACATTGATCTCCAGCAAAATTTTGTTAAGCTACTAATTTCTATAGCATGAATTTAATTTACACATGGACCCATGGCATATTAAATCAAAAACAGAATAGATCACTTTACATCATGACTTAGCTGACATTAGTGCACCAAGCTAGTTACCAACTTACCTCCAATGTCCAACCCCCTTTCCCCAATAACGGTACTCATGGTCATGGCCTATGGGCCAATATAAGTTACAAATTTAGCAGTACATGATAAAATATAATTTATCTTACCAAATTACCAATAATAGAACAAGTAAGCATAAAGTAATATATAAGATAAGATCATAAGGTCAGTAAAATTTCATCACTAATTTTAAATTTGTAAATTTATATTGAGACAAAAGTTCAATTTGTCATTGTATGCTATTGCATAGCCATTAAGGCAATCAGACTCAATTTTTTTAGTCTTTTGTTCAATTGCTAAGCACTAAAAATTTTCAATGTTTCATTATACATTGTAATTTGCAACATGACTTCTAAGAGATAAAAGAAATTATTCCAAGATTCTATAATTGAAAATTTCTTCTCTATACTGAAATTTTGCAGTTCGACAACAAAGACATACCATATATTTTCAATAAATTTAAAATCTTGTACCCCCAGGCCCCAGCCTTCCAGATTATTTTTTAGCATTGCAACTATCTTTTCATGGCCCAATTTTTATGTCTGCAACTGTAAGTGTAAAGAAATAAAGTTAAAACTAAAAGTAAAAATAGCTAAAAGCCTAAAATCATTGTGGTTAGGGCCTAATTCCACTGTGCAGAGGGTGGATGAATATTGCAAGATCTTTGGCGACACTTCAGTAGCAAAATTTACGCCATGAGAAGATCTTGCCGACACATTTAGATTGAAATTCTTGCATTTAATATATTTGTCAGACTTCAGCCAACTATTTAAAAAAAAGTAAGGTTTCCGATATGTTGCATGGATCAGGATGCAGTGAAGCTTGCCCGGAAATCAGTTACGATGAGTTCCCGCCAAAAAAATTTAAACATCAAGCTCACGATTACGTAGTTGCGGTCACATTAGAGTGGTCAGACTGCATTAATCACATGTTCAGTAACTTCAGTTGACACTTGCTGTATAATCGGACTGTTTTTAGGGTAAAATTAGTTATTTGGGGTAACATGTGCATGCAACTTTATAAATAAGTTCGTAGCTTGTAAATAGTTTTTCATTACTCAGCATAAATGGATTTTCATTAAATATTACCCGGCGACGCATCTTGAAATTACCCAGCAACGCTTAGGGCTTAAAAACCCATATATTGGCGACGCTGCATACACCCTCTGCGCCCTGGGGGCCTATCAGGTTATGGGCTTATGGCAATGGTAATTTGTAGACACAAGACCCATAATAACAATGAGTTATAATTGTAATTATTTGTAATGACAGAACTATAGTATATTACTATACGTCAGACACTTTAAGAAGATTTTTCATTGGTTTGCTTGAAGTTGGACAGAATTGGACAGTTTGACTTAGAGAACAGATTTGCACTTCACCGTTAAAAAATTAGCTAGGGTAAACGTGGTATATTCCGTCACATTAAGGACGCATCGAGAAATGAAAAACTATAAAAAAATAACCGTATGCGTTACTCAAGTTCTGTTTGCTTTAGGCGACTCTCAAAACACCGTAGTACGCATCGGCAACGATGAAACGTCACAAAATGTTGCTATATTTATGTAAAAGCCTTTAGAATGTAAACCTACCAAATCCCTATATTCCGTCACTGTGTGTGGCAATATTCGGCACGTGGTGAGGTGTATTCCGTCCGCGCTTCAAATTCTACTGATACGTAATGCCGTCATCCACGTGTTCAAATTCCGTTCGCTGTGTGAGCTGTATTGCAATACAACACGGCTTTGAATTAGAACACTAATGAATATTGAACACCACTTAATTACGCTTTTAATTGACAACTATTAAGCTTTTAATTAAGCAAATTTTAATTTTTGTACATAGCTTGCAACGATCTGTGTGTCCAATTCAAGTTGTGACGGAATTAGTTTTCATGTGTCTAAATCCATTTCTCAACTTAATCATCTATCAATTTATTCATCACTTGAAATCAGTGAATACAAGTATACTTAAAGGATTCCTAATATATTCACAGACTTATTTAAAAGTCTCAAACCATAATATTCTTCCTATACAAACAGTTATTCACTATTTGGTAGAGCAAGGTCAACTGTCAAATTTGACACATTTTTCGATGATCTCACTGGGTAGCATGCATTTTGTAGCATTTGGCGAAATCAATACATTTATAGATTAATTGGGAATCTCCATATAATTTCATTCTAAGCAAACTTTAAAGAGCTAATAAAATATTTTCTTGTCACTGGACGAAATTATGCTCAATATTATTACCACGATTATTGGCACGATATAATCATAATAATGTACGTGCTGATTTCAGCCTCGATTTTGAATGAAGCTGTTTAAGTAGCTCTAGGACGGTAAATATCTCCATTATATCAATTTCTTCATTATCAGTGCAAATCAAATGTAATGGAGGTGAAATTGTACGAAACTCTTACTCTTGTAAATGTTAAAGAGTTTTCTTTACGACATTTTATACTCGACAACGGCCTGTAAGAAGCGTTTCATTTCTTAGTTTTGACTAACAACCTAGAAATGTATATCTAAATAAGATATTTTAGGTTACAAAGAAGGGAAAAAATAAAAACATTAACTCAGTGTCAGCGCACACTCATTCGTGGAGTTTAGATCAGGACACAACCTCGTTCCCAGTAGCAATACAAATGAGCATTTCCAAATTTAATGCTCAAAAATGCGTTAATTGTAAGCAAAATCGTTATAAAAAGAGAATAAATTTGCAGCAATATAGGTTATGCAAGCATTGCAATACTGTAATTCCTCAGAGGTTATTTTCTACGTGACTGCAGTTAGTTTGGGCACTGCCGGTTGGGTACGCTACGGGCTGTCAGTACCAGTTAAGGTCGTGCCGATCGAGGGTCACACCACACACCTCCGGAAGGTCAGCGTTATACCATGCCTTGAACTACAAGCTAAGTTTCCATGATTGCTGAATTACTTATCTGCTCTATCTCACTGTAGTCTTCTTTCAGTCGGACATGCATTATTATCATTCACCCATTTATTTCATCTATTAATTGCCGTGAATGATTTGATGTTAATTGCATCATTCTATATTGTTACTATAGCTCTACATCAATAACTGAAATTTTATCTAACTTTCTTGTTGAAAATGAGGTAAATCAGCAGACGCGTTCAAGCGTAACGAAGTAAAAATAGCCGCTCCTGTCAACCTTGTAGACTTCGAACCACCTGCAGCCTGTCTTGCCCTGCATCTTTCCTACGCATGACATCAACAAATCCATTTTTATTTATGGTTGGAAACAAAAATGTGATTAATCCATTTTGAGATTTTTATTATTAAATTAATGAAAAAATGTGAGTTTTTATTCTGAACAGTTTATGGTGCTTATAGTTTCAAGACAGAGAGCATATTTAAACACCACAGCCCATAACTTTCGTTAAATTCATATGCAAATCCGTGAATGTGCTATAACTTAATTTAGCTATAAATAAATTTACAAATCCCGCTCATTTTCGTTTATGGGAGGGGGTTGTTGGAAGAAGCCAGTACTATTTTTCGGAAATATTGGCGGCTGTCATTTCATAATGGTATAGTTATGCCGTTATAAAAATTCAATCAAGTCGTCATTAGCATCGGTTACCGGCGATGGTAAATGATATTACGAAATACTTCGATGAATTAGTCAATTAGATGAGTTTAAAACTTGAATAGGAACCTAAGCCTGTGTATAAACTATTGCCACTTTTTAAATTTGACTCTGACTCAACCATGGTTGAATTTGTTCAACCATGGACTCAACTTCCCTGGTAGAGAAATATTAGGAAAGTTAGATTTCCACCAAAAATGTTTTTACTTATAAGAGAAATTGAAAGATAGCTGAACTCTAAAACTCATCGTCATTGGGATCGCCATGTAAATTTTAATCATGGGCGTAGAGTTTCAATCTTTTTAGGAATACATACAGCCGTCCGTCAAAAAATGAGCAACTGGTGTAAAGAGTCGAAGAGTGGACAAGAGAGTGCCAAGTGCTGGTGGCCGGCTGGGGTAGAGCACGTGTAACAAAAAACGCATGAAGAAAGCTTGGCAACACGCACGATGATCGACGTCACTACCGTGAACACAGCCAAGGGACACTGCTAAAAAAAGAAACTATTGCTCAGGACAAAGAGGCGAAAGCAGTGCAGACGACAGAGGGAACGTACGGAGGTCAAGAAATTTTACAGCATCAGCAACGAAGCATAATGTTGGAAAATTTTTGAAAAATAGGATTAATTTTGATAGACGATTGGATTAAGTAAGTTCTTCGTTGCAAGATTGCTTTAAAATCACATACACAGGGCGATCAACAATTGAAGTAAACAGCTCCTTCATTTCATGCACTGCTCGATCTCTGCCAAATTTTCGTTTTGGATTAGCGACTGTAAGCCGAGGGACAACTTTTTGTAGTGAAAGTCTTTAATCTTTAAGATACATTTAAAACGTTCTTCGTGACCGCGAGCACGTAAGGACAGGCATTTTCTGTGAATTTCAACCTCATGAATAATAGCAATATTCATAACAAATGGAATGTCTTAATCTTGTAACATGAACATTCATGCGTTGATTAATTCTTTCTCCAAGCTTTTGGATTGCTCCTTTCAAGTACATGAGGACTCGGCATGGCGTCGAGCGCCATGGGTCCCACCTGCAGAGTTGCGTCTTGGCTGGCCACCCTCCTACTCCTCTTGATGGCAACAAGCTCGTCGTGTGGTGAGTCTTAATAAATTATTAATTTACGTGGGTGAAACAGCTGTAGTCGTTTGAAATGTTTTCTGATTATGGAAGCTGCTGTCCCTGGCAACAGAACTTACGGTGTGATATGGTAGTGCTGCGGAGAGGACCTGGTCAAGTATGGTCGGTCTATCACCTATGCTAGACATCGCTAAATTTTTACATCCAGCTGGGCTCAAACCCGCAAACCCATGGCCCAATTTTGTTGCTTTTAATCACTTGGTCTCTTCTCCATTTCGATAAAAAATTTAACTACTTCTTACGGCTCGAACCTAATTCTTCATGTTGTTAAAACACTAGGTCCCAAAAACGTTAATGAATTTGTAAATAAAGCATAACTCGAAAAGGAAAATTATTCAAGACTGCAATTCAACGAAGTTGAATTCAGTTAAAAATCACCATTACACAGTTAATTTTTATCAATGCAGGTATGGGTACTGTAATGTGACTCATACTAGATTGCTTTGTGACGACATTCAGAACTTCAGTCTCAATATGCCTTTGGGCGAGACCACTGCAGGCATCATTACCGATCATCGTCTCCTGTCACTGCCTAAAATACGCGACAGCCCTGCCAAGACACTGCGCGCTAGCATCTGTCAATGTATAGGTCGCTGCTGCTCAGGTGGACTGCACCTCAGAGGGATCGAGTGTGTCGTGAAATGCTAAACATACCAACGCGCTATACGTGCATCTAATGCATCTTGTTGCACTTCCTCTGAACAGATGCATCCGGTTTTTGGCTGTGTGTAGAACAAACTGTGACTATGAGTCACAGGCTAGATTACCTGCTGCTCACAAATAATGTCATCAAAAGTCATTTGGTCGTATTTTGAATTCGATGTATACGATGTATATTTTAATCTTAATAAGCCATGAGCAAATCTACAATTAGTTAGTAAGGATTGTAATTTTTTGCAGCTAACGATCCTAGCTACACCGACTGTCAGCCTCACATTGATGCCACCATACGAGATCTTGCATCGAAAGCACTTAAAGACGGGAAGCTGCCTCTTCGACCAGGTATAGTTGCTCACAAAGTGCGAAACATCTAATAATAATGCCAAGCCAGATTTAACCATGTAATTAATTATGTAAATAAATGAACTTTAATTAGTTATAAGAGGCGTATACAGAACAATTCAGACAAAATCGTTGGCTTATGTTAAAAATATTATTCCTGAACTTTGTCATGTATTGAATAGAACCAGATGATACAGCTGCCCCAACAAGCGGAGGGTCTTCGGGTGATGCCCCTACCATTGAAAAACTTCCTTCAGAAACATCCCCTGCACAAGACCTTGATAACCCAGCACCGGAAGAATCAAAACTTCTTGATCCAGCAGAGGCGGGGCCTAACATTGAAGAAGAAGTTCATTTGGACGCTGTGCCCACCACAGTTTCAATTGACACGGAGTCCATCTCCACTCGCGCTGAAGAATCACTTCCTCCTCCTACCGAAGCAGCCCCTCCTTCTGCTGCGGCACCGGAAACCGCTCCCGTTCGTGTTCAGTCAACTAACATAGGCCACACTGATGGCTCAGCTGAATCACAGAACCTAATCAATAAGCTAGTAACGTCAATATTCGGAAAATTTCCAACTGAGCGCGATGCCAAGTGGGCGACTCCGTGGCAGAGTCATCCAGAACACATACGGGCACCGGTGTCCCAAGAGAAGGTTGAAGTCAGTAAGGAGCCAGGAGTCGTCAGTAAATCTATCAATAAAATGGTAGTTGCTATTTTCGGCGAACATTCGGCTGAACGCGACCCTAAGTGGGCAGATCCCTGGCAGACACATCCCGAGCATGAGCGTAAAATTCCAGCAACGTCTGAGCAGCCACGAGAAGTAATACAAGATCCCAGAGGAGGAGTTTTGCACAGGTTAATCTGCCTAGTTTTTGATGAACCCCCGAAGGAACGAGACCCAAAGTTTGCTGAACCATGGCAGACACATACTGATCAGCAAGAGAAGTTCAAATCTTCCTCGGAAGAGTCTGTAGAAGCGAAACCAGTAGTAGTTGCTTCAGGCGGTTTACTCGATAAGATTGTTAGAACAATTTTCCCCGCGCCAGATGTGGAAAGGGATCCCAAATACGCCCGACCATGGCAAACTCATGACGAACACATTAAAGTCAGTGTTCCGGCTCCAGAAGTAAATGAAATAGCGCATGGATCTGGAGGAATCTTAGATAGATTGGTTAGGTTGGCGTTTCCTTTGGACACTGAAAATGCCGTGCGAGATCCCAAGTGGGCTGAACCTTGGCAAACTCACAATCCCGTTAAAACTCAGCCGGTAACAGCTCCCGAAGAAAAACGTGTGTCGACCGCAACAACGTTCCCACTGTTTGTATTTTTTGATGGATTAATTTGCAAAATTTTCAACATTGCACCTAAAGAGAGGGATCCAAAGTGGGCTATTCCGTGGCAAGATCATGACGAACACAAAAAGTCAATAGTGGAGAAAAGATCAGAGCAAATTGAACAAAAAGTTATTGGACCCACCGGAGGGCTTCTCGATAAATTTGTTAGAACTGTTTTTGGATTAAATGAGACAGGTGAGAGAGACCCTAAATATGCGACACCTTGGCAAACGCATGAAGAAGCGGGTTTAAAATTCCAGCGAGCTGACCTTGTCATCGATGCTTCTCCGCCTGCTCCTAAAGTAGTACACGAAAAAACTACAGTACCAGAAATTAAACCTGAACAGAAGCCATCCCCGGAGCCCGTCACTTATCAGACAACAACTCCCCCATCCAAACGGGAGGAAAGAACTCTTCAGGAACCTGTCGTGGTTGAAACGCTTATTCAAGCCGGTGAAGAATCCGAAGAAGAAAATAAACCATTATCGCAGGAGGGGAAAGGCGCTGGACAGGATGGGACGTTTCGAGCAGAAAAAGTATTGGGTGAGTCTACTTGACTTTTTTATCTATATTAAAATATTTTACTGTTACTATGATAAAATAAAAACCAATATCCTTTAGTTACCCAACTTCAACTTGTTTATAAAATGTAATATGAACATATTTTGCAATCAGTGTTGTTTTGTCCCAAGTGAACAGCTGAAACGCGTAGTTGTCAGCATGTGGACTTCGAATTAATTTTTCAGATTCTGTTGCTGAAGCTGCCGTCGCTGAAAAGGCCGACCATGGTTCCATTGATGCGCCTATCGTCCCCACGACCCCCACGAAGGAGGAAAAGAGTCCATACGACGACCACGATGACGAAGATGATGAGGAAGCAGAAGATATTCCCCAATTTGTAACTGCTACTGGTGAAACAGTCTTGCAAGACAGCGATGATGAGGAGCCTGACGACGACGCGGAACCAGACGAAGTGAATGCATCCTCAGCATCCGCCATTACTACGGATGAAACGGATCTTGGCACTGACGATGAGAGTGATCAAGTGAGTTTTCAGCCCACGTGTGGTTCTTCGCAATTTGTTTTATGGAATTACCATTGTTATGTAATGGCCTGTAAGCAAGTACCATTGTTATGTAGTGGCCTTCAAGTACCATTGATATACATTGATTCCTTTGTGAATTTAGGGATGTGCCTGCGTCCTAAAGAATGAATATATATATACCTGGAGATTCTATTCGTCTGGATATTATCTAAATATTCCACCGTATTTTTCAGATCATATTGGTTCCTGCAGCATTAAGGCCACGAGACCACATAGAGGCTATTCTTGGCTTGGACGAAGCGTCTCGTAGTACCGCTATGCGGTCTAACCCAATCTCGGACGCGGCTCTCAAGGAGCTCAAGAATATTTACGAATCGAGTATAAAGCCTTTGGAAGTCATTTACAAGTATCAGGATATATCGAACCGTCACATGTCTGATGCTGAAATATTCGGTCAACCTCTCGTTCTGGTGCTGGGCCCATATTCTACGGGCAAATCTTCGTTGCTCAACTACCTCATGAACGTCGAGTATACCCGCCGAGCACTGAGAACCGGTAAGGACTTTTAAATTAGTATGTAAATTCGTAAATGACTAGATACCTTTGGTGTAAATTTAATTTCTACATAAAATGTAATGAGGTGACTATTTTTTCGAAAATCGCGGTAATTTGTCTGTGATAGCGAAAATTGTTATGGCTATGAGCATGACTGTTGATGGAATGATTGAGTGGCATGCAAAGAATTAGATATTTGTTCTTCTTCAGCTTAGACACACTGTAACAAATTCCGNTTGAGTGGCATGCAAAGAACTAGATATTTGTTCTTCTTCAGCTTAGACACACTGTAACAAATTCCGGTGAATACGACCCAGGTCAGTAAATTTTTCCTTACAGTATCACATATCTTGTGCTCACATATCTTGTGCTCCGCTGCCTCGGCAGGTGCCAACCCCAGCCACGGAGTGTTCCGCATCATCCAGTACGGTCCCGAGGACGCCGAGGTCGATGGTACGGCTCTTAGCGCCTCTGCCCACTTCGGCTCACTGCAAAAGTTTGGCCAGAACTTTGTTGATCAGTTGAGAGGAAGCGTAAGGAACGTGCCTCTACTCAAGAAGGTGGGTTTGAACTTCGTTGATAAACCAAATGCCTAATTTTAAGAATCGAAAAACTGACGAAAAATCCCCGAAATCGAAAAACGGACGAAATTTCCGTTCAAATTTTTTAATCAAAAAACAGACGAAAAATCCCCCCCACTCACAAAAATAATAATTTAGAAAAAAATACGACGAATCGCTAGATATGCTTCTTACGCATCGAATGATATGCGTCTCGAGGTTGTAGCTTGAAAATCCTAGGAGGAGATGGATTTCTACCCTTTTTGCCGTTTTCAATGAATTTCACGTTTTCTTTAATTTTTCGAAAATTTTACACGAACAAAAAAGTCTTAGATTTGTGTTTTACACATGTGTACCAAGTTTAAAAGTAATCCGCCCGTAAATGAAAAAGTTTTTTAGCCGAGACATGAAGTATTTTGGTTCCCGATGGGCTATTTCTTCGATCGTTGATGATTTAATAGTGAAAACTCCGTTAATTATTGAAGGAGAAAAGATCGACCGAACTCATGTTCTACAAAGGATAAAACATTATGTCGAAAATATTATTAGTGCATCCGCATGATTTTGAAAAGACTTCCATGACTCATGAGTCATGACTGTTGAAATTACATTGGGATAGTTCTGTATAAATGTTCCTATATTTCAATCGTCATATGTTGAAACTGATATGGCATAAAATAATCGTTTAGTCTTGATCATTAATATAAAATAATCTATGATACTGTTTTGGAGTCTTTTGGGCATTAGAAAAATTCATCTAGGTTTTGCGTTAATTTTCCATTTTTTCGTGGTCAGACGTTCAGTGTTGTGCACATCGTTCCCGAATATCATTATTCTATAGGCGCGAAAAGAGGATATTTCTCCTAGAGTATTTCACAATGTTTGTCTCTAAATCATATGTTTTAGCTTATCTTGCACCGCAGAATTCAATGAACATTTTCAAATTTATGTTTTGAGTCTGTTTGCTCGTGTACGGAATTAGGATCGCCTAGAGTTATAACAATTTAGAGACAAAAATATTAGGCTTTACAAGCCTACAAGCAGAAGTTGCATATTATCTTTCTCACATACTGAGCATGCAGATTTTCTCACATACTGAGCACCACTTACAGTCTCCGGGCTTCAATGGCATCCACATAATGACATCGCCAGTATAAATAAAATAAAATTCAAATCGTTATTGTGATGGTTATCAACAATGCCGACGTCCACAGCAGGAGTGGCTCAGAGCGGATCTGGAATTGTGGTCGAAAAAAGTGGGCAAAATCGAAGTGAAGAATTTGGTTAGATAAACAGAAGTCCTAGATAGAAAGAATCCAGTGTCTCCAATCTTACAGATGTACAATGAATTTCTCATTTAATTTTCGAATATTTAAAAAAATTAATTTGTACATTCTCTATAGTGATGTTCTCCAGCACATACTAGACATCTCCTCTTACTGGTACATCCATCAGCTGAGTGGCCATACCGTTGACAGCGGTAGCATTGCAGTGGGGGAAAGGAATATGGGCGGACAGAGTAGGCAGAGTATCCAATTTTCATTTTATTTGGTAACTCTCTGCCCTCAAAAACTACCCTTATTGAGGTTGATGGCACACGCTTACCTTCAAGGTTCTTATTTAATCTTTCCATCTTCACAAATTTGCTTGGACCATCCACTCGAACTCTTTTCTCCATAGCAGTTATGTCAGCATCAATATCAACAGGAGTGATGACTCCATAGCAGTACTTCCCTTGATTAGGTTGGGAGCACCTAACTGACCATGGACCAAGCTGAGTCATTTGCAAAAGAAAGGCAATATCTTCTTCACTGTCGTCCAATAGCTGGACAGCAATCAATCCTTTTCTGCGGTTCACTCGTACATCTTCTACACGCATGGTTGAAAATGGTGGTGCTTCCATTACTGAGCAGAGCTGCTCTGGTGAGTTCAACATGCGTTTAGAGCTATCGTCTGCTGGGCGGATGAGAACCACCCGGGAATCTTGTCGCTCGGTTGTGGTGGGCAATTGTAGCTCAACAACACTGGTATTCCTCTGTGTTGACTTCTCTATGGGAACAAAGATTGATCCAGTATTGGGCCGCTTCTTTGTCTCACCCAACATGTCTTCAATGGCTGCAGGTGAACTCTTGCGCTTCCGACGTGCAGCTCCCGTACCGCATTCCGACGAGTCGCCATCTTGGGATGAAGAAGGAGCAGCATCTTTCAAGCCGACAATTTCACTATCACAGAAATGTCTGATTTGAGAATCAGTCATTGTCAGTTCTAACCCTGATGCATTTGGTGAAGCACCAGGGTCAATGAGATCTTGCCCCTCAGGTGAACTGATCATTGAGGGATTGTTCAGCACTTTCACAAATCACAAGGAAACAGAGAGATTTGCACGAACGTCCTCTTTCGACAACGGTTCAAGCTTCTCTCCCACAAGGATGAATAACGTATGGCTTAACAGGTTCAACATCAGATTGCGTTGGCTACTTATTCTTTGTATGAACAGAGACAGAGAGACGGGCGTATGAACGACGCCACATTCAAGTTTTTCATTAGAACAGTAAATGTAGCATTTAACCTTGCTATTACACAAGTAACTTTTTCAATCACGAAACTGCTGATATGTTATTAAAAATACACCTACAATTCCCAGGACGTGCTGGGTGTTTTTTCCAATATTTTTTCCACTTCAATTGATAGTTTTTAAAATTTCAAGGAAAAATCTTTGGTTTGAGAAATAGCAAGCACATTTACTACACACGGGGGGGAGAGTGTGATGAATCCATTCATTCCTTTTAACAGTGATAGACGCATTTCTTTTGAATATAGTTTCTTAAAGTGTAGAGTTGTCTATGCCAAGGTTTTTAGGGAATAAGTATAGAAGTAAAATTATTGTCGTTCATTTGTAAACTTCAACACAGACCCCAAGAAATAGAGCAACTCTGCTTTACGCCCTACGAATATAAATATATATTCATATCAACATGTCACGGGACTCATTATATTAGGCAGTTATGCGAGGCTAGTCGAATGGGCGGCAATTGTAAAATCTGCATAGAATCCGGAGTTCAAGGTATAAGATGAGGAAATTGTAGCCTTTCTAGTAATGCGACTAATATTGCATCTGAATAGGATATGTATTATTTTTTCTAGAAATGAAGCGGCAATGCACACTGAACCATGTTACACACATTTCCCATGTAAATTTACATTAGATTAGTGCTTATTCATGTTATTTTGTTGAATAAGCTTTATTTAAATAAGCATTTCCTCTGTTTATACTTTACTTTTTTCACCCACTGTATCTGACCCACTGTATCTGATTGCGAACCTCGCTCATTGATTATATTGTTGATCGGATTGATTTGGTTTCGTTGTGACGTCTTTCCGTAGTGGAATGATAGGCTTATGATTAACGTTGAAATATCTAGTTTTGATAAGATTTCTCAAGCGTAATCCTCATAACAGTAAAATTAATTCAGCTTGATATATGGACGTGACTAGAGATGCTGTTATTTTAACTAGTTGAAACAATTACTCAATTACTAAATTACACGCTTATACTGTCACATCAAAACAGTAATTCAAGGAAATAATATGGGTTAGACTTAAAACTTATCCTTCTCTACGAAGCCAAAATCCTGTTACACGCAAGACGCTGCACTCAAATTATTTGCTACAAGTAAACTATTGACCTGCATGGCTATTTCTAGAACTAGTCGGCATCAAATAAAATAACGAACCGGAAGCTCCTCAGCGCTCACAGCAACATTAATGATATTGAGGTCAGAATAAGATTAGGATTTTGGTGTACACGTGTGAGGTCAGGATAGACGTGTGCCACGTGCGAGGTCAGGATCGACGTGTGCCACGTGCGAGGTCAGGATCGACGTGCGACACGTGCGAGGTCATGATCGACGTGTGCCACGTACGAGGTCAGGATCGACGTGTGCCACGTGCGAGGTCAGGATCGACGTGCGACACGTGCGAGGTCAGGATCGACGTGCGACACGTGCGAGGTCAGGATCGACGTGCGACACGTGCGAGGTCACACTCACACAAATCGCTGCGTAAAAACAACGCACCAAAGCGCGTAAATATGAAAAAAACAACTACTATTAGCGCAACTAAAACAACTACTATTAGCGCGTAAATATGAGCGCTTCTATGAAGGAGCCTCGCGGCCCTGACGACGGATAATAATGCAGCTTGTGATAGATAATTTTATTGAAAAACATCATAAGAACTTTTTTACAGACAGACGAATGATGTCGCAAATGTAATGCTAGTTAGTATATGAAATAAAATGTTAAAATTGTACCTAAGCATTTGAGATAACTTTACATTCAAATTAATTATTCAGCAATACAAGTGTGATAATTCATTTGCAATATATAGCCTAGGCTTTAAACGCGCCCCTAGTGATATTACGGAGAAACAACTCCGAATAAAATGCATGGCACTGATTGGTGTATAAAATAAAATATTTATTTAAATTCCTACATGACTTTTCTCAACGCAGCTCTCTGTACATGTCCCATCATGTAGATATTTGCCCAGATTTATTTACACGTTTTATCGTCACAGTTATATGAGCATATTATTACAATTAGCTGCATTATTAGACATAGACATAGGCTACTATTTTCAACCCTATAAATTCACTTACCTCCAATTCTTCGTCGGAAGAACCATCCGACCGTAGCAGGATTCGAACCCGGGACAGCAGGCTGCGAGACGCCCTTGCCCACTTAACCACGGTAGCACGCATGCAATGGAAGTTAAAATTTGCTATTCAACCTAACTTTCGACATCATGACTTAATAAGAAGGCACTCATAAACCTACATTTTCTAGATATAATTTATTTCTGTTATTCGTCAGAGAAACAACAATAAAACTTGCGGAGAGTTTATAATCACCACCATCTACCATCACTACTTGTAAGTTTCGCGCTATCGCAGGGTTGCATAACTGGTTGAATGAAAAACTGATCGACGTTGCGCGAATTTGTGGTGTTCAAGCATTCCTCGCACCAACAATTGATAATTT